TGAGTCAGAGCGGCTGTGTCAGCGGGGCCCGAGCTGTGCCGTGCGTTGCCGCCCCATCTAATCTAATCGTACAGTAGATAGTGATGCGTCCATATCAGGCAGGTAGTACAGAGGTCGCGGGTTCGAGCCCGCGAAAAGGAAAAAATTAAAAAACGGCTAGGCGCCGTACCAACTCGTGACATTACCCCCCCCTCAACGGCGCATGACCTCATGCGAGGCGCCCTTGCCCATCTCCCATCCGGAGCGGCAACGTGCTTCAGTCAGCGGCGAAGGCATTGGCTGAAAGTTGAGACCACCAAAGGTAGCAGTGTTGAGTCGACGAGGGGCGTTTGGATTCTTCCGGTGGAAGTCGGCTATGAGGGCCGGCGCATTGGTAACGTTGCGCGCCGGTTCCCATGACGTATGCGAGTCGTCATAACCCTTCCACTTGACGAGGTACTGCAGCTGACGCCGGAAGATTCGCGAATCCTTGATCCGCTCAACCTCGTACTCCTCGTCGCCTTCAACCTCAATCGCAGGCGGCTCCTCCGGCTCTCGGCCCGGGATATCGCTACGCGTATACTTGCTAAGCAAGGAGACATGGAACACCGGGTGTACCGGCACCGATTTCGGCAGGACTAATTCATAATCTAAGTCTCCGAGCTTTCGCCGCACGGCATATGGTCCGAGGCGTTTGGGACTGAGCTTCTTGCTCGGCTGTTTCAGCTTAAGGTTCCGAGCGTCAAGCCAGACCTTGTCCCCCGGCGCAAAGACCGGTGCCTCCTGCACGTGCTTGTCGTAGTATACTTTCATACGCTCGGCTGACAGCTCGAGCGCAGAGCGCGTATCGTCGCGAATCTCCTTCAGGATTTTGAGCCGATCAGCGGCCGCAGGCATCGCAGACATCGGATTGATCCGCACTTGGATCTCAGGATTGTACCCTTGATGCAGGAAGAAAGGGGAGTGCCCGGTTGCGGAGTGAACTCGGTTGTTCAATGCGAACTCCGCGAGCGGCAACTGCTTCGCCCAATCATCCTGCCTGTGGCTTGTGAAAGCACGCAGGTACTGCTCAATCTCCTGGTTCCAGCGCTCAGTCTGGCCGTCGGTCTGGGGGTGGAACGCTGTGGACAGCGCCGGCTCGATTCCCAGACCCTTGTACACCGCATGGAGATACTTTGAAGCGAACTG